GCACTGCTGCCTCACAGCAGCAGCAACTTGGGTTCAATTCCACCCTTGGGCAACTGTGTGTGGAGTTTGCACATTCTCCCCGTGTCTGTGTGGGTTTCCTCTGGGTGCTCTGGTTTCCTCCCACAGTCCAAAGATGTGCAGGCTGGGTGGACTAGCCGTGTTAAATTACCCATATAGTGTCCAGGGATGTGCAGGTTAGGTGGATTACAGGGGGAATGGGGTCTGGGTAGGATGCTCTGAGGTTCGGTGTGGACTTGTTGGGGCAAAAGGGCCTGTTTCCACACTGTAGGGATTCTATGACCTATAAAGAGATTCACTTGTGTTGCTATAGCCTCCAGGGCCACAGGCCAAAAGCTGTAAAATGGGATCAGTGTAGTCCTTTTTTGACTGCCACAGGCACAGTGGGTTGAATGGCATCCCTTTGTGCTGTAACATCTAGGAGACTAAGGAATTAGAGAAGGTTGGGTTGTTCTCCTTAGGACCAAGAAGCCAGAGGGGGATGAAAAATGATGAAAGGTTTTGTCAGAATAAATGGAAACTTATTTGAATGACTGAAGGAGCAATAATCAGATGACCTAGGTTTAACTTCAGAAGTTAATTAGCAGAAGAACCAAGAGACAACATAAAAGAAAGCTTTTACACAAACAGTAGTTAGGATGGGGAAAGGATTGGCTGTTTGGGAGGGGTGGTGGTGACAAAAGGACATACTGGATGGGCTGCATGACCTCTTTCTATGGTACATTATTCTACTCTCTTCTATAAAACCCAAACATGCATCACAAAAAGGTGTTCAACAGAAATTGTTGAGGATTAAAAGGGACAGGATAAAGGGGCCTGGTACCAGGAGAAACAGCAAGACCAACAAATTCTCTCCATGGCCCCTCTCAGGATGGTTATGGAATATCATGGCTGAAATAGTAACAAGACCAACAGAATTGGGCATTTAAGCAATGAAGAAAGATTAAGACTACGAGAGTGATATATATTGGAAAACAAGTAGATTAGAATGAAACTAAAGATATACACAAGATCTTCTAGGGATCCCAGAATGATCAAAAAGATGATAATTGCTAGGCCCATAAATATGGAACAACAGGGAGACAGAAATGAAAGACGTTATAAAATTCAGATAAAGCAGAATAAATATTTGCTATTTGAAAGGCAGAGGTAAAGTGGAGATTGCAACTGATGGATGGAAATGGCTGCTTCTGGTTCTCTATAGCATTGTTACTCAAGACAGCCAGGTGGAGACAGTTAGTTATTTCTAGTGATGTATCTTGGGTAATGATGGTTTCCTTGAACATGATCGATTGCCCTAGGAAATGAATTTCAGCACTTCTTCCAAATTTGGCCATGCTTTTCCCCCTACAGTGGCTCTCCCTGTCAACTCTGCCAAATGATTATCTCTAGTAATTAAGGAGATTGGCATTTAAAATAAAAAAAAAAGTGTTGCAACAGCTCGACTCATTATTCATAGGTCTGATGATTTCTTTACTTTTGTGCTATAGACAGAAAATTTCTCTTATTTTTAAAAAAAAAGTGTAAGAGAAAGCTGACAAAAGAAATGGGTGAAAGAGGAGAGAAAGACAACTAGGAATGTAGTTTTTAAACTCATTTATTATTGTAGTTTGAAATTACAGTATGAGTTACTTAAATGATATAGTTGGCTTTTTAAAACCTGTGGTTGCTTTAGCATCATAATACAGAAACTGAAAGTTTTGTAAAACCAAAATTACAACCAATTCACCCTCATCACAGATAACACTGTGCCACACTATAACTCATAACCATACCCATAGCACTAACTGTTTAGAACACTTACTGGAATATTAGCAGTGGCTCCTGCCCCAAACCTGGCACCTGCATCATACCCATCCTTCACGAACACAGTTGAAGATGGAGAGAAGACTTGTGGCACTGCATAGTACTGTATGGGCATGGCTGCCCCAGTTGGACCCATTTGCATTTGGCTTGTGGGTGGCACATAAAAGCCACCTGGATAACCAGGTGGAGCCTGGACAAATCTTGGCTGCTGGTGAAGCTGGGATGTAAACAAATTCAAATGATCATTTCACAGGAAAAAGAAAAGGATAAAAAGTTTACTGTATAATGTCATCCAAGGCTATTTGAAATAAACAGCTGACAATGTTCCTGGAAACAAAAGGTGCATCAAGACAAAGAGAAACAACAAGTTCAAGTTTCAGGTCTAACCATGTATTCTTGTGAAGGGGCAACAGATGAAACTTTAACTTGTCCTTCGACTTTTTTAAAAAGTGTGGATGAATTTTTTCAGCACTGTTTATATTTTCACATTTCCAGCATGTGATCCTCCCCTGCTCATTCCCCTAGAATTCTCAATTAGATCTTTAGTTCCTCCATATGTGGAGACTGTTATCACGGTGATGCCACTGGCTGAGGCTAATGCTCTGGGACAGAGGTTCAAAACTCAGCATGGCAACTGGTAGAATTTAAAATCAACTGGCATAAAGATTGTCTCAGTAATGGAACCAGCTAGTTTCCTTGTGCCCATTAGAGAAGGAAATCTGCCAATCTTACTGGTCTGACCCCCACATGAATTCAGGCCCACTAGTTGTTTGTTTTTCTTTAAAATATAGACCAGTTAGCCAGACATTGGTAGCTGGGAAAATTATAAAAGATCGAGTGGCAGAGTACTCGGGAAACAGTGCCAGGATCAGAGAGTCAGCACAGGCAGGGAAACTGTGCGAGAAATTCCAGTAGATTTGTCAAGAAGAAGATGTAACTAATAGAGAAAAAATTCTAACAGGACTAGACAGGATGTTCCCTATGACCAGGGAGCCCAGAACCAGGGGTCATGGTCGAAGGATACAAAGTAGGCCATTTAGGACTGAGATGAGGAGGAGGAAATGTCTTCACCAGACAGTGGTGAGCCTGTGGAATTCTCAGGCACAGAAAGTGGTGGAGGCCAAAACATTGAATGTTTTCAAGGAGTCAGATATAGTTCTTAGGGCTAAAGGGATCAAGTGGGAATGGAGAGAAAGCAGGAACAGGGAACCGAGTTGGATGATCAGCCATGATCATACCGAATGGCAGAACAGACTCAAGAGGGCTGAATGGCCTATTCATGTGACAAGGTATAGAGCTGGATGAACACCACAGGCCAAGCAGCAGGAAAGCTGATGTTGAGTCTAGGCCCTTCTTCAGGAAATTTTCTGAAGGGTCTAGGCCCAAAATGTCAGCTTTCCTGCTCCTCTGCTGCTGCTTGGCCTGCTGTGTTCGTCCAGCTCTATACCTTGATTTCTCAGATTCTCCAGCATCGGCAGTTCCTACTATCTCTGGCCTACTCATGTAGTCTGTTTCTATGTGGTTGACTCTTTAGTGTCCAAGAAATGGGCAAACAAACCTGTCAATTCAGGGACAGCAAATGCTGCAGATTTAACATTTGCTAACACAATAGTACCATCATCTTGAAAGCTCACCCATTCCAGGAGGCCCTCTAGTAACGGAGTACAGTAAATTTAGATGAGACAATTTATTTCAGAGCTCTGAGGTGATGTCCATTCAGGCTTCATTCTGGGGATAACATTTACTCATAGTAAAAAGATAATATTAGTTCTCACTTCCAGCTTCCTCTTATTTTGATAAAATAAGAAATTAAGTAAGTTAAACCATCTCTTCCCGGTCATGCTCATTAAAAAGGTATTCTAACATCAAGATATTAAAATAACAATCAACTCTCTAAATTAAAATATCAATATATCAATGATATTAACCAATTTTGTGCCAAAAGGAAGGTAATTCTGGAAAAGGTTAATGGGGGAGGCAGGGAGTTGTGGAGATTGTTCTGACAAAGCAAAAGACACTTGGGCTCCAATCCAAGTATAGCAAACATTAAATTAAAATAACTTGTCAGAGTCTAAAGTCTGCAATGGTTATGATCACTAGTAAATAGCAGGGTGGGCTCAAAATATTTTGAGCCAATTATTCAACTAAGTATTTTGGTATGTGCGGTTGAACTATTTAGACCAAGCAGGAAAACCAAAGAAAACATGTTTCCTGTAATATTCACATTAAGTGAGGTTAGCCACAACAGAAGTTTCCAAACGAGGGGAAAGAAGCATGTTGTTACACCTGGTACTTTTAAGGATGTGAATACTACCAGAGATTGAGAACTTGTCTTTTGTTCTTGCACAAATCCTCTCGGAACTGATCCTGCAGCTCTCTCTCGTATATGGTGTTCATGAAGGAGTGGAGGGAGAGGAGTGTTGTGTAGTACAGGAGAGGGTGAGACAAGGAATGCTGGAGTCTCCTGGGAGCAGGTGGGGAGGGAAAACATGCCTTAAACCCATTCCTTAACTGTGAATAACATCTCGCATCTCTCTGCAATCCCCTTCAAAACCAGATTCCACTCTGCAGCATGAACAGTGGCAAGCTGATTTCTTGGAAGACTATGGAGATTACTAAACTGGATGAAACCAGGAAGTGAGGACCCTCATTGTTTGCTTTGCAAAAAAAAAGAAAAAAAAAAAAAAAAAAAACAGTGGCAATCATTACAATTTCTACCCAACACATGAAAATAATTAGTTCACCTCTCGGAGCCTGTGCAAGTTGTCCATACCACAAAGCCACAATTTTTCAAGTCAGTTGCTGGAACAGCCTGGAGTGCTTTCAGAGTCGAATGCTTTTTCAAACCAAATTTCAGCCAAGTTTTAAATCACACAGAATCTCCTTCCGAGGCTCACTGTCTAGGACAACATGTGAAGTGCCGAGAGGTTTCACAATGTTAAAAGTACAAATATGAATGGAAGTTATCCTTTCCATGTTAATTCTGAAAAATAGTGCCCAAAAACGCACGCGATGGCAGATTTCCTATCTGTCACAGTCTGACATACATATCCTCTGAACAGGAATGTGCTTATACTAAACAGCGATCGTTGGAACTAATTTAACATATTTCAGCTGAGCTCCCTTCTTGCGAAGCAGATAAACAGGAAACCATGGCACTCTGCAGCAGACAAAAGACTAC